CTTATTCAATGGATTTGTCCATTCTGGACAATTTTATATAAGCAGAAACATATTATACATAGCCTTTTGTAACAGGCTTCTTTTATTTCAGCATACTGTTTTCAAGGTTCAACCTTGTTGTAATATATATCAGTATTTTATTCCATTTTATTGCTGAATAATATCCCATTGTTATGGCTATACCACATTTTGTTTATCCATTCATTAGTTCATGGACATTTGACTTGTTTTCAGTTCTTGGTTATTATGAATAATGCTGATATGAGCATTTGTGTACAATATTTTGGAGAGACATATGTTTTCAATTCTCTTGGGATATAAACCTAGGAAGTGAATTGCTGTTCCACTTATTTATGCATTCATTGGTTGATTCTTGTATGTGCCCTGACCGGGGATCAAACCTGCAACCTTGGCACATCAGGACAGTGCTATAACCAACTGAACTACTCAGCCAAGGTACACTGATCTACATTTCAAGTGTTAAGCCAGTAAAATACAATCTTTATCAATATAGAAGTAAGTTTTGAAATCAGAAAGTGTGAATTCTCCAACTTTATCCTTTTTCATTTCATATGAATTTTAGGTTCAGTTTATCAATTTCTGAAAAATATAGAAATAAAAAACAAAAAGCTAGTATTTTTAGAGATGTTTTAAATCTGTATATTGCTTTAGGAAGTATTGCCATCTTAACAATATTAAGTCTTCTGATCCAATGAACATGAAATGTCTTTACATTATTTAGGTCTTCTTTACTTCTTTCAACTTTTACTTTGTTTTGTAGTTTTCTGTGGACAATCTTATACCTTTGTGAAGTTTATTCCTAAGTATTTTATTATTTTTATGCTATTATGAATAGACTTGTTTTCTTATTTTCATTTTCATATTCTTCATTACTGGTATGTAATAACAGCTAATTTTTGTGTATTGACTTTGTATCCTAAAACCTTGCAGAACGTGTTTATTAATTCTTGTGTTTTTTTGTGGAATTCTTAGGGTTTTCTACATATAAGATTATACCATCTACAAATATAGTTTACTAATTCATTTCCTATTCGAATGCCTTTTATCTCTTTTCTTGCTTAATTTACCTGGCTAGAACCTTCAGTACAATGTTGAATAGATGTGAGATCAGACATCCTTGTCTTGTTCCTGATATTAGGGGAAAGATTTAGCTTTTCACCTTTAACTACGATGTTAGTTGTAGGGTTTTATATATGTCGTTCTTGGGATTCATAAGTTTTCTTCTATTATTGGTAGTTGATTTTTTAAAATCCTGGCAAGAGTATATGTTTGATTTGAGAGAGAGAGAGAGAGAGAGAGAGAGAGAGAGAGACATTGATATGAGAGAGAAACATCGATCGGTTGCCTCCCTTAGGCACCTGACTGGGGATTTTTAATCATCCCTCAAATTATTCCACTTTCTAGATGTCTGGTTACTCACCAAAAGAAAGAGAGAGTAAAACTGAGAATACAAGAAAAGAGTGAAACTAAAGGAAAGAAAGGCGAACATAATCTCAGCTATGACAGGCACATATGACTGATCTCTACATAATTTGAGTTGTTAACTGAAATTCTGTGGTCTTATCACAGGTCTTAAGACAGTTGTCTTGAACTCTCTGCAGCTCTCTGGACTCCATTTCATCATAAGAGAACAAGGTGATTTTAGCCTGTCCACATTCAGACAGACACACTATCTCACATGCACCAAACCACCACAATACCACCATCACCACCACTCCTCTTTTAAATTCACACTCTATGTCAAATCTGTCTTGAATTGAAACCAATACTCCACCTTTAGAGAGCAAGTAGCACATGTTTATTCTTTTTCATTTTTTAGTATTAATATTTGGATCCTCTCCAGTGAGAGGGCCAGGGCAGAGCCTAGTTTAATCACGTTGATAGTTCTAACTCTGAATGATTTGACACAGATATAATCAAATTAAAAGAAGCATCAAGGAAATCTAGAAAGGAGAAATATTATTATTCAAGGACAATCTTAGCCTGAAGGTTGGATTTCCATAATTTTTCCTAGAGACAGTAAGGTAGAAAAGTAACTCACAATAAAAACATACAACTCCAAACTGGTTTTTATTTGTCTGACCACTTGGTTCTAGACTTATAGGTACATATCATTCAAATTACCCAGTTTTGCATAGTTGCCTCAATTTACCTTGGCCCAGAGACTACCAGGAACTCTCACTCTGCCCCATGTCTTTGATCCAGTATCCTTTGGAATCATGCAGTGGAGGGTTTTCACCTAGACCTCTTTTCCAAATGACCAACCCAACTGCAGACCTTAAAGCAGACCCATGGAATACTACTTGGCCATAAAAAAGAAGGAAATCTTACCCTTTGTGACATCATGGATGGCCCTGGAGAGTATTATGCTAAGTAAAATAAGCCAGTCAGAAAAATACAAGTACCATATTATTTCACTTATATGTGGAATCTAATGAACAATATAAACTAACAAATGAAATAGAAACAGACTCAAAGATACAGAGAAGAGACTGGCAGCTGTCACAGGGGAGGGGAGTTGGGGAGCCAGGTGGAAAAGGTGAAGGGATTAAGAAAAAAGAAAAAAAAAAAACACCTCATAGACACAGACAACAGTATGGTGATTGCCAGAGGGATAGGGGAGTGGGGGGAGGTAGAAGAGGGTAAAGGGGGGATAAATGGTGACTTGACTTGAGGTAGTGAGCACACAATATAATATACAGATGATGTATTATAGAATTATACACCCGAACCTGTACAACTTCATTAACCAATGCAACCCCAATAAATGCAATAAAAATTAAATAAAAATAAATAAAAACCTGACCCATTGGGCTGTCCATGGGCCCATCCCTAATAAGAGTAGACATGCTTCACCCTTGCTTTATTCAGGGTCCTCGACATCTTAGCTTTGCCCTGGGTTATAAAATACTTTCTGACTTGGGACAAACTCTTCCTTCCTTCTGCTTGATTGGATTTATTTTGTCCTTTATTTTTTAGTTTCTTAAGGTGGGAAGTTAGATACTTTATTTGAGACTTTTCTTCTTTTCCAATATAAGGATATCTATGTTTTAAATTTGCACCTAAGCATTGGTTTAGTTGTATCTCACAAATGTTGACATGTTGTGTTTTGTTTACATTCAGTTCCAAATAATTTTTATATCCCTTTGATCTCTACTTTGACCCACGGATTGTTTAGAAATGTATTATATTATTAGTTTTCAAATAGTTGAGGCTTTTTCACGTATCTTTCTATTAATGAGTTCTAGTTTAATTCCATTGTGGTCATAGAACATATCTCACATAATTTGAATCTGTTTAAATTTATTGAGACTTATTTATGGTCCAGAATATGGTCTGCCTTGGTAAATGTTCCATGTGCATAATATGCTTCTAAACAATGTTTCTAAACATTCCTCTTTTATGGTTTTGTACTTTTTCTTAACATAAGTATTATTTCTTCCTCTTCTTTTCTTCTTCTGATTACAATACTTCATTGGTTGCTTATAGAGACTAGAGTTATGTGGCTTTTGAGTCATGTGAATGCATTAACTATTAAAAAATAAGTATTTGTATTTTAAAGAGTAAACAATGATGATAAAATCATGGTAGTGGACTGGACACAAAAACAATTATCTACACATACACAAACTAGAAAGGATATACTTAGCAAATCAGAGATTTTGAGGAAATCTTAGAAGATAGAAACAGGAGATATTTTCAGACAGAAAAACCAGAGAATTTAAAATACTTGCAGTAGAAGGGCAAGCACACTTAAAAAAATTCAAGAACAGAGTCAATGAAACCAAACAACTGTAGAGGGTCCTCGGTGGACTGTGAAATTAAAGAGCTACTGTCTGAACAGGAGATCTGTTTGCTGCTGCCCTGCTCTGACCCTACCCTAACCTTACTTACATTGGACAAAGAAAAACTGTAACTGGACCCCCTTTAATCTCCCAAACTACACTCAAAAGACAGTGACTTACTTGACCAGGAACAAAACCCAAATCAGAGCAAGTCTGAGACATCTGCAGACTTCTACAGCAGAAGGGAAATAAAACAGAAGGACACATCTACTTACAAGAGAGATCCACAGAAGTCTTCCAATGGTAGAGAAATGCCATTATTTTGTCATTTTGGAGGGTCCCTATCCTACCTGTGATCTCCATGACATATACCCCCAAAGGAGACCACTGAATAACTGACATACTCCACCCTCCCATTCAGAGGACAAGCCTGTTAATGAAATGGGCATCACAACTGTAGATCAGATCCATGCTAATTACCTAGGCTAATCAAATGTGCCCTTTACTCCCAAATACAAATGCACAAATGTTTGCCAGTACTTGAGGAAAGTTAAAGAAAAGATCATGATGGACAAACAACTATTTCTGGAAAGAAAGAAAAAACACTTTACATGCATGCACACACACACACACACATGCGCACGTGCGCGCTTGAGAACTTTACCAAAAAAATCCAAATTCATAGTCTCAGAATTTTAAGAAAGACAATAGGAATACGGTGCTATTAAAGGAAGTAATTAGATAAAATCCTTGAAGATATAAATGTGGCCAAATTAAAAACTTAACAGACACGAGGCACTCAGCACACAGTCTCTGGGCCTCACCAGGCTCTGATGTAACATGGAAAGAATGCTCCAGACTCTCTGCCTCCTAGCGTCTCTCCTCCCAGTGCTGTAACTGACTCCTCCCTCCCTCACTTAGTAACAGACCCCATTTCAATCGCCATCCCAGAGCTTCCACCTGGTCCCAGAGTCCACCAACAAGTGTCCTCCTCTTTAATTTCTGGAGCCCCTGGAGGTCTCAGCGTCCCTGCCACTGACTCAGTCTCTGACCACCCTCGTCGCCATTCCAGGGGATACTCTGATACTCTGCAGGCTCCACTTTTGCTCCCGCTGCTACTCACCTCATCTTGCACCTGCAGTTCCCACTTCTGCACAGCCTTGGTCTTGGTGCCCTGTGTCTACACCTGCAGACATGGCGACCCCACCGCCCTCGAAAGTGTGCCAGAACTACTATCCTGAGTACGAGGCTGCCCTCAACCACCAGATCAACCTGGAGTTCCATGCCTCCCACGTGTACAGGTCCCTGGCCTCTTATTTCGAAGATGTGGCCTCGAGGCACTTGGTCGAGTTCCTCCTACAGCAGTTGAGCAAGGAGAAGGAGCATGCCAAGAAACTGATACAGCTGCAGAACCAGCGCGGCAGCAGCAACCGCTGGGTTAACATCAGCAAGCCTGACCGCAACTGCTGGGGGAACAGCCTGAAAACCCTGGAATGCACCTTGAACCAGCTGATGATGGTGAACCAAAGCCTACTCGATCTGCACCAGCTGGCACTGAGAAGAAGGACGTCCAACTGTACGACTTCCTCGAGAGTAACAGTCTGAAGTGTCAGGAGAAGTTCATCATACGGTTGGGCAACCATATCACCAATCTGCACAAGATGGGAGCCCCAGAATCCAGCCTGGCAGTGTACCTCTTTGACAAGCTCAACCTGGGTGCTAGCAAGGAGAACTGAACCTGGACTGCCTCCCTGATAGCCACTGGGTGAATTACCCAGGTATGCAGAGTATGCATATTGTCTTATTGCCTTTGTAAAACGTTCACTTAAGTTTTTATGTTTAAGTTATACTGTTTCTTCAAATAAAGTTATTGGTTCTTAAATAAATAAAGATCTTGCCCTGGCCAGTTTGGCTCAGCACTTAGAGCATTGGCCTGCGGTCCAGAGAGACCCAGGTTTGGTTCCCACTAAGGGCACGTACCTCAGTTGCAGTTTGTCCCCGGCCCTGGTTGGGTTGTGCAGGTGGCAACCACTCGATTTGTCCCTTTCATGTTGATGTTTCTCTCTCTCTCTTCTTCCCACAAAAAAATGGAAAAATGCCCTCAGGTGAGGATAAAAATAAATAAATAAATAAATGTCTTTGGTTCATTTGTGCCTCTCTTGGACTGCCGGGATCGGTGCAATGCAGTGAAACTACAAGCACACACTGCTTGGAGTGAGAGGGAGCTTTGCAAGAGCTCCAGATCTCTGGATGCAGTCTCATTTATTTGCAGATTGCTATCCGCAGGTTATAAGTGGATTTATGCAAATTATTAATTTGAGATGGCATTACTGCAAACCATACACCCTAGCTTTGTCTCTTGCTTTTTACAGAAAAAGACCTTGAAGCCAAAAGATAACAAACCCTTATTCACATGCAAATGAAGCACCCAATACACATGGGCAGGCCCAGCCCCCCCCCCAACCCAGGCCAGGATTCTGAGAATGCATTAACAAGGTTGAAAGTGCTTAACACAAGGTTACAAAACATCCATCTTCCAACCCCCAACTCCACATCTCCCTCCTTTTTGTTTTCTTGAAATTGTGGGATCACCACTGCTGCGGTGGTCAGGAGCATCATCACTCATTTTTTGGTCTTCTGCATAGAGGACACCATTTTCCAGAGTCCTCAGAGAATCATATCGAGTCCCTGGGCTGGAAAGGGTGCACAGGGTCTGAGGTGGGCATAGGCAGGGCGTCGCAGACGAGTTTATGGACAGCTTTCTGTGCAGACTGTGAGGCCTCCAAGAACTGTAAGAGGGTTAGGGGAGCAGAGTGGCCCAGTTTTCACCGGTTTCTAAAGTAAATTTGGTTAAGGTTTCCTTTAAGGTCCTGTCTTCCTGCAATAAGTATGCCCCTTTCTTTTATCCTTGCTTATTTTTTAATTTACTATGCATAATCTTTCTTTAACTTGCATAGACTTTCTGTGACTTTCCTAGTCCTTTCCCTGACATTAAGCTGAAAGCTTGCTTAATCTATCTGCTGTCTGCACATGGCCCAATTTTCCTTCTCTTCCTCCCTACTCAGACCCACATATTCCTGCTTCTTTCTGCCTTCTCCCTTTCCCTGTGACTTTACTGGATATAACCTGTCTCTCAGGAGTTTAGTAAGCTTGGAGTAACCTAAGTGGATAGTCTGGTACAGCTGGCTGACTAAAGTCCGACCTAAAGCCTCTGGGACTAGCAACCTCCCATTAAGCAGTGTCCATCATCCATTGATTCTTGGGTGACTTGCTTCTGTTCAGCCAGGTCATTTTCTGACCTAGTGTATCTGGAGAGGCCCCACTGGTTTTAGGGTTGCCTCCCTAGCTTTCTGGTCTGTAGCAGATTTTCCTTGCCCCATCGGAGAGCCTGGATTATGGCTATCAGTTCAGGCCGTTGGGCTGAAGTTCCCCTACTTAATAACTGAGACCAAATAACATGGTCCAGAGTTATTGCTGCTGCTTTAGCATAGCTGATTTCTTTCTGGATATAGCTGCTCCTGTCCATGAACAATATCTCTTCTGATGATGGCAGTGGAACATCCTTGATGTCTGGGTGGGCTATCTTCACTATGTCAATCACCTCGAGGTAATCCTGTAGAGTTTTCTCTGGGTCATCATGCAGGAGGCAGACTGGCAGGACTGATGGCCAATGTCTTGTAGAACTTGATGTGTGGCTGGCCTGGAGTGGCAGTGGCCAACAATTGCTGAGTAGGGAATATGGGCACTCCAGCATGGCCAGAAATGAATGAGTCACAGTATTTCTCCCATGGTTCATAATCCTCTTTGAAGTCCAGGGGTAGGTTAGGGGCCCATTGGCTCAGTCAGGACTGAGTCTGCTGCACCAGTATCTGCTACCCCTGACTTAGTCCTAGTCTTTTCTATCCCTAATTGGGACCTAGGCCTGCCATCCAGATCCTTCCTAGGGTGATCCTTCCCCAAGGGCCCTGTTTCCCTTAAGGCTGCTATTACCACCTTTGCTGTCTCAGCCAATTGGGCCAACAGGCCTAATAGGAGAACACAGTGAAAAGTGTCCAATGAAACCCTCCCCCAGGCAGTATTTGGGTCCCACCATGGGCAGAGGGATGGGAGAATATCCTCTGACCCCAAGTTTACAAAAGGACGCAGGAAAGGGGAGTGTCATCCTAGAGCGCAAGTTTATGTGGGGCAGAGTGTTTTTCAACTCTCCAAGAGCACTTCGCCCCCATGCCTGGGATCCCTACTTTCAACTTCCCAAAGTTCAGAGAAGCCTGTTGGAAACTAGCTGCTGCCAAGCCTGGGGCGGTGGACAGATGAACCACCCGGGCTGGCACCAAAAGAAGAGGCCCCTACCGTGGCCTGACTGCCCTCCCCAGGGAGCCCTGTGGCCTCTGGGTGAGTGTGTATCCACCTGCCCGCCGTCCCCGTTTCCCAGGAAAAGGAACTCTCCACACCCACCCCAGTCCCAAAGCACGGCGCCATGCAGGACGCACAGAGCAGCCCACCAGCAGGGATGGCCCCTGAAACATAAATTATTTTGTTAACTGCCTGTAGCAACCCAGCTACAAAATCTAGATATGGCTCTTCAGGTCCTTGTTTGATGGATGTAAGATCCAGCAAATTTCTTCCTTTTGTTGGGAGCTCTTTCCAGGCCTACAAAGCACAAATATAAATCACAGCTGTAGTGGAAGATGGTGGGGGAGTTTTTAAGGACTCACAGCCTTTCTCAGCTTTCCTCAAGTCTTTTACTTCACCTTGCTTTCCCACCTTTTTGTTTCCCACACAGGAACAAGGCAATCTCTAATAATGGCCCAAAGAGTATGTTTGGGCCAGAACCTTGTTCGGGCCTTTAGCTGTAACTCTGCCTCGCAGGCACTGCCCTATCTTATCCCAGGTTTCTCTTGGGGCCCAGTTTGGGGCCCACTATCAGTATATGTGCCCTAATCAGAACCTTCCTCAAATCCTTCTCTAAGAATGTTTCAAAATGCAACCCAATGAGGTCTTCTGGGCACCAGGGCTGCTATCTATGATTAGACTAACCGTAACAAAGTTGAGGGAGACACAGTAGGGAGGCAGACGAGGACAAAAACAAGACACACAAGACAGAAACTTTTGCTTACAAACATCGTGGAGCACGGTCACTCACACACAATTACATTCACACAGTCACACTCACACACTGTTTGAATTTCCTTCCAGAAAATCCCTATTCTGAGTGGTGCCTTTGCCACTTGGGAGGTGATTAGTCTCCCCTTCTGCCCCAGTGGCAGGTCTGAATGAACAGAATTTGCCATATTTTAACCAGAATTTGCCAGATTTGAACCCCACCTAATGTCTTAGGGAGATTCCCAGGAGAGGAGAGGCTGAGCCACGTCTGGCCCTCTCTCTCTCATCTAAATAGACCAGCCACCCAGAATCCACCTCCAGAGGCTTTTACTAGGTCTTCTTTCATTTTTCTGTGGATGTCTTTCCATCTCCCAGCCACTCGTCGGAAACCCAAGTAGGATCTTCAGGGCCCTGGAACTCAGGGGGCACCTCCCTCAGATCTATAGGGGTCCAGCAGCCAGAACCGGAGGGGCAGCCCATCCTAGGCATCTAGCCCTTAGTATAGCAAAACACCAGGGAATCTTGCTAGGGCCTCTAAATGTTGTATCTGCTGCTGCAGGATTCAATAACATAGGCAAGCAGCATAAAATACCTACCCTAGATTGGGTGGAGATTATAGATAAATAAGCCAAAAAATATTTTCTGGGGTAAGAGAAGCCCCCATTCTAATTAGCATTTCCTCAAAATGTTGTTGCAACTGCTTGAGGCTCTGTTGTTTTCCAGGCCAATGAAAGGAGGAGAATTTTACCAGTGAACCCTAGCCAAAAGGCTGGGTTTGAACAACCATTCCCCATTGAGAGAGAAGATCCCTTACCCACAAATTTAGGGGAGACTCCATGACATAAGGTTGAATTCATCCTTTTTGTCCACCTGGACCTGTACAGGAAAGGGAGCGAGTACTTTGTTGAGGAGCTCGAGTTCCTCCCACTCCTGTAATTAATAGGGGTACTGGGGCTTTAGGCCATTCCTTAGGCCATTCTCATGTTGTTATAATAGAAATGTCTGCCCCTGTATCCACTAATCCTGAAAATAGTTGCCCTTGTATATTAATGGAGAGCAAGGGCTTTTTGGTGTTAATAGCCGCAGTCCAGAGAACATCACACTGACCAGTGCTCCCAAGCACTGCATTCCCTCTTATTGTGGCACTGGCTCCAGAAACCCAGGAGGGTAAGTGAAGAAGCTGAGCTATTAGGGTTCTCCGTGTTGATACATGAAAGCCCACAGCCTTAAGCATTTCTGTAATTTCAAAATCTGAGTCAATTACCCCTGGCATCACTTGTAATCCTTTCATTGTTAAAATAGATCTTCCAATCACTAAACCTACTTTCCCCTCTGGCAAGGGGCCATACACTCCTGTAGGAACTAAGCAAATATCATCAGACTCCTTAAGTGTTAATTCTGTGGTGGTGATAAGATCCAAGACGGCACTCCCTGCCATGGAGGCTTGGAGGTCTCCAACCCTCTGTTTGAACTTCCAAATGGCGAATTGGGCCTGCATCAGC